GCACACGTGCCCAGCGTGAGTTTTAAGCCACCGGGTCCGGGACGCGAACCGCGGTCGACTACGTGGGAGTCCAGCGACATAGCCATGACGCTAACTGCTGGTCCCTGACTCCCCTTTTTCTAAGGACAGTGGTCCCCTTTAGATTAGGGCCGTCTGCTCCTCCCAGGTTCGACTCCACCTGACCTCCCTACACCTGCGGGACCCTGTTTCCCAGCCAGGCCCTTTCCGGAGCCCTGGAGCTGAGGCCTGCAGTGCCCGAACTTTCATGGACACAACAGGGCCCCTGGTCCCCTCCCTGCCAACCGCATCTACCCTGTCCTTCACCCTTGTTTTTTTTTTCTGTCTTTTGTTTGTTTTCTTTTATAGTGGTTTTTGCAGTAGGGCAAAACTCTCCAGGGGGAGAGACAGAGAGACAGAAAGAGACAGAGAGAGACAGAAAGAGAGAGAGTGAGAAATCACCCCCCAGGGGGGTGGCCACGCTGCAATCCCTTCTCCATTTTCCTTTTGGGATCCTGGTCACGCACGCACACACGCTCAGCGTCAAGCCGCCGGGTCCGGGACTCGAACCACAGTCGACCGTGTGGGAGTCCAGCGACGTAACCGCCAGGCCACCTGTTGGCTCCCCCGTTTTCTTTCCAAGTGCAGCTCTACGACGTCAGCAACTTCAGGCTGCTCAACCCCGGGTCGTACTCCGTGAGCATCAGGGCGCAGGAGGTGTTTGTCAAGAGCCAGAGCGCGTGGAGCGCCCCCCAGCACTTTGGTGAGCGGCCGCCCCTTCTGCCTCCCTGGCGCGGTGTGCGTGGGCACCCCCAGAAACGAGCCACGTGGTCACCCCCAGAAACAAGCCACGGCCGCCTCGCACCCTGGCATCCTGAGTGAGGGTCAGCAAGTTCCCATCACTGCCACGTCCCAAGGTGGCCAGGAGACAGTGCCTCGCCCCCCGGTCTCCCCGCAGGAGGGCACAGGGTGGCCTTCCCCGCAGTCCCCTGGGCCGTGAAATGACACAGTGTCAGCAAGAAAATGGGTCCTTCTCCGCTGCCCAGGGGGCTCCTCCGTGGCATGGCCACCCTACAGACAGCAGGCACCCCCGAGAGGAGCTGCCGTTTTGTTTTTGCTTTGGGTTTTTTTGCCGTCGGGGG